ATTATCCAGCGACAACTTCAATGCACACTGCACAGGTATAGACAATTTGTGGTTGTGCTGACGACGAATCTGTGGCCAGTCGTCCTGCATGGTCCAATCAGCACGTCATGCTCACATACATTCAAACTATCAATTGCACTGAACTTGCAACTCATACTTGATTAGGCGCGAGCACATCCAACCTCTCTTACTTGCCAATCAACCACCAACTACTCGAACCAACCATCCAGACTAATTGTGAAAAAAAAACCAGCTGCTGACCAAGGTGGACCTGCACTTGGATCAGAGGAGATCCGTGGGTTGTGCATGATGGAGTTGCGGCCTAGAGGAAGCAGCCTTTCTCCGCTTGACGACTAGGCATTGACAACCATTGAACAAATTAGAGACACAAAGGACATAGGAATGGGGTTTCTGGAACACATGGGACCAATGGCAAAAGCTAGTTGGAGAAAGAGGACGGAAAAACCCTTGAGAGATTTTGGGAAGGATGGATCAAGGTGGGGAAAAGTCATAAATCTCCCCGCGACGAAACCTTTGTATCCATTTCCCCCCAGATGCGGAAGAAGGTGCCACAGACCCCAAAATCACTCTGGGCGTCATTTTTGCACCCTGCAAAACACTTTCCCACCATTTTCACACATTGGCCGTTACCGGCCCAGACAAGGTGCAAAGTGATTTTGGGACCTGCGACACTTTTTTCCCCGTTTGGGGGGAAATGGATACAAAGGTTTCGTCGCGGGGATGTTTTATGACTTTTCCCAACAAGGTGGGTAGGAGGCTTCAAGGTGCTCTTAGCAAATGTATGAAGCAGCATGATATAGCATGCACACAGAAGGCAGGACTCAACAAGATGCAAACTGAAAAAGAAGATGAAATTTGTGGCAGACCATTCACTGAGAAAGAAGTGAGGTGGCCCCTATGTTCCAATGCATGAATTCATGTGTAGGAAGACTTAAACCACCAGTAGTTGGCCCACCTATAGGCCGCGGAAAAAACGTAGAGTAGAAACATTTCTAGTCGGAAAAATGAGGGCACTCCTGTAGTGGCCAGTACGTTCCTAAAACTGTGGCTCTTTAACAGGCACGGCTTTAGGAAGTACTGGTGGTTTGAAAAGTGGCACGTGCTTGCTCAGGGGTGAAAAAGGAGTTCCACCACGGGTACGCCCACAACGCCCACAGCACCCCTCTTCCCTCGACATGAAGTGAGCTTTGCAAAAATGCCAGATCATTGAGAAACCTTTGTGAGGATCCTTGTCCTCAGCAGGGTCATAAATGGGCCCCTCTGCAAGCATTTTGCCTGCCCTAAGTGAAGACGGGCCTGCATTTCTTCAAGAGGCCTAAATTTTTACATTTTTGGGGTTTTTTGAGGCGCCAGACAGTTACTGGGCGCCGCCGCGCCAGTTGGTTGCAGGGCCCAGCACACTATTAATATAGTTGTGGCCCGATGGACCACGGATCAGATATTAAACTAATCAGAACAGATACTACACTTGAGTGACTTGATGACTACCCAGGTACATCCCAACTGGCACATTTTATTCTTGTTCACCCTGTCTCCCCCTCTCCCACCTCTGTCTCTTATACACATCTAGATGTGTATAAGAGACATCTCCCCATACACATTGAATTCTCCCTTCCCTCATCCAGCCTTGATAGCCCGATCCCATAATTGATCTTGCCAAGACCGCCCTTTCTCTGTCTATTTATTGACCCTGCTTGTCTTGAATACTATTCCCTACCCCAGTTGATCTTCCTGGCCAAGTCACAAGTGAGCATCCGAGTCCCCAATAATTCCTGCTGCGAATGGTGCTTTAAACCAAGTTAAGAAGTGGGTTAAATGCGGTTCAGTCAAATCCGAGTTTCAAATCGGCTAGAAAAACCACCGGACAGCAAAAAAGACCGGCAAGTACGAAAAGGCAAAAGTGGCACTGCACTTCGTAATAAGCGTGGATGTCATAAGCACAGGGGAGCACAGGGGTGGGCCGTGTTGCGCAGAGGGCCTGAATGTCATAAGTACAGGGGCGGGCAGTGGTGTGCAGTGTGCACAGGGCCTTGATTCAGAAGAGGCAAAAAAGAACCCGCGGACTTTTATTGAAACCCACATTTCAAACTCGCTCCATGACCAAACTGCCATTTAGTGTTTTTTTTAATGCCTTTTCGAACTCGGAAAAAGCCCCCTGAAGACAACTGCGTGGGAAGGATTGAAACCTGTCCGGGTAGCCAACCCAGGGGTACTTTGTGTAACCATTGCATATACTTGTATAATCTCGTTCAATTGATCTCAAAAACGAAAAAAGGAAATAAAAAAGGCCTTTCCAAACTCAAAACCTGACGCGGGTGCGGTTGTTCTGAAATTCTGAAAAAGTTGTTGCTATAGCGAAGTTAATCCCCTATTTTATTTTATTTTTTATTTTTTATTTTTATTTTTTTGAACTGAAAAAAGAAACTTCTGAACGAAGGCCCGTCGAAGGGCAGTCAAAATCTGTAAATTGCCAAATGCTTAGTTAGGAATGGGATGTTGGACACTGTTTCCAGCAGGTACAGCTCCCCCCCAAAATAGAATGGGGCCATCACAATGAGGTACCTTCTCTTGGGCCCTTGGGGGATGGGCCTATCAAGTCTGTTTTTGTTTTTCTTAAGATCCAACTATACGGGGAAGGAAATTGAGTTCCTTATAAGCCAAAAAAAGCACGCACCTGATGGTTACTCATGCACCAAATTAAAAAAGGCAAAAAGGCTGCACAACACTTTCTAATAAGCTCGGATGTGGTAGCTGCAGGGGCAGGCCGTGGTGTGCAGAGGCCCTGAGTTCAAAAACGCCAACAAAAAATTACCCCCTATGTTTTCTACTTTTGCTTATTCGAAACTGCTACAGGGACAAAACTACATTTACTGTTTTTTTCTTTTCTTTTCGAAACTCAAACCATGACTTAAACATAGGTGTTTCTTCGTTTATGACTAAGCTATATTCTTCTCTCAAATTCATCCTTACGAACTGGACTTCTCCTGCTCCTGTACAGGGGACCCCTGCAAGCATAGCTACCTCTCACAGTCAAGGGATGCATGTTGCCCCCCGCCCGCTCAGGAAGTAGGCTGGGGCCGTGGGGAGGAGGGGGTAGCAGCAGTGTCTCAGGCCAACACTCTTCCATGCACACACACACACACACACACACACACACACACACACACACACACACACACACACACATATGTTGGCAGAGGCCCTATCAATACCGACCAGGTGGAGCCAGCCAAGTATCTGAGTCGCTCCTATCAACTCCCTGCGAAGTCTGTTCCCCACGGGAAGTCCATTGCTGGCGGATGTTTCTCAAAGAAAAAAAAACAGAAAACCATATTCCTCGTCAGCGGGAGAGGCACTACCTGGTACTCTGTCGATCTCCGTGGTAGGAGAGCAGAAAATGTGGGTATGTGGGGCTCGAAGGAGTGATGACTCTGTCCACGGGAACATATGTTCCACTCCCCATCTTAGGGGTGGGCCAGTAGGAAGGACCCAGGGCAGGGTTCCGTGTGTTTAGGATTTTTGCTGAAATCTCCTATGGAACTTTTCGTTATTCCATCGCTAAGTCCAGAAGAGAGGACGAGAGTAGGCGTCCTAGAAACTCTAGACGCTATCCTCCTTGCTGATCTTGGGTTTTCCTTTCTTTTTTTTGACCGACTTCCTTCTTCAACCATATTTATACCCTCACTACCATCAAGGTGAGATGAGCTAGGCAACTTTAGTTGCTTTGCTCTAACCATTTCCTAGCACCTACTCGTTATTTAACTCATCGTTGCAGTTTTAGAGGGGGTTGGTTCTTTCAGGGGCTCAGAACCCGTAAGAGAAACTGGGTAATGCTCCCAGCCAATTCCATTTCATGGTAGACTGTGAGGACCCCGGCCTCTAGTTCTGGTTGGAAATAGAAATTGATTTCTGTTAGGGGTAACTATGGTGCAGTCACGAAAGCAGTTTCAAACTGCATTTCGAACTGCGTTTTCACAGTTTAGTCAGTCAGGGCCTGAATTTCAAATGAGGTTGAAACTCAGGCTGGCTTTTTCGAGCAGGTCAGTCAGACACATCGCCGTTGCTTTTTTTTCTTTTTCTGCTGTGGAATTCTTGGGCGTGGCTGAGACTTCTCGGCTGTGGCGCCACCATGAGATGCCGTTATTTCTTTTATAATTCTTGGGAGTGGCTGAGACATCTTCGACCATGGGAATGCCACCCAACAAAAAAAAAGAAGAAAAGGGCCACGTGCCTGACTGAAGTGCTGGAAAAGGGCAGCATAAGTTCCAAGTTCATTCCGAACCGGGGCCCTGACTGAAAAAAAAAAAGAAAAAAGGAAAGGAAACAAACCGAGTTTGAAATGCATTTAGAGACTGTAAGGGCCTCGCCACACCACTGTCGAATCGCAAAAAGTACAAATGCATGTTCCTGGGGTGTGTGACGAGATGCATCCGTTACCCTGAATAGCAACAGATGCATTTTGCCACTTTCTGCGGAAGGTGCACTCCTACATTTTCGATTTCGACAGTGGTGTGGCGAGGCCCTTACCCTGACTGCACCGTAGTTTTCTATTTCTGTTATTGAAAAAAAAAAAGATGTAAGTACATTCATGTCATTTTTAGTATAGAATAAGCAAAAAAAGCACGCGCCGAGCTCAGAAAAGCAATGAAAGTACCAGCGGCCGTGGGGTCAGATGGGAAAAGAAAAGTAAAATATAGTGCCCAAGCCAAATTGACGTTTCGAAGTCAGAGCCTGTTTTCTTTGCCTGTGCATGTTCTGTTTGCCTTTGCGAACTGAAAACCTGCCGCGTCTGCCGTTGTTTCAGAAAAGAAAAGACGGGCCGAGGCCCACAGGAAAAAAAAACGGGCCGAGGTCCACAGAAAAAAAAACGGCCCGAGGCCCACTTTGTCAAGTTCGTAAAGAACAACCTTACATAACAGAGGTGCTTTTAGAACAGGCTCCTTAGAGCTTGTGGATTTCCTGGAATATGCACTTTGCCTACATTGGCAGTGAGTTCATTTTGAGAATCTGAATTGTATAATTCTAAATGAAAAAGAAAAAAGAATAGAAGGATGCAATCTAACTTTCCGTCTAGGCCGCAAGACCACAGCGACTGATGGTTTGCCGATCGGGAAGCTGCAGGCTTACCCCGTCTACATTGGGCAGCTCCGTGATTTGCCGACGCGTCTCTAGCTCCAGCCCCTCCTCGAGGAAGCATAGGATGCGCACCTCCTGCGCCGCCTCGGCTCCCAAGTTTGCCAACACCCATCTCCTGATGAGGACGTGAGTTCTGTCGACTGTCTCAAGAAGAGAGGGGGCGCTGCTCACAATGTCTGCAGGCCTGTACTCAAGAAGAAGCTGTGGCCAGATAGTAGCATCAGCTTTTCCTGCCAACTTCTCCCTCAATGCTGAGAGCTGCGTGGATAGCCCCTCTGCTAGTTCGACGTGTCCTTGGCTGTTGTCGTTGTCGGAGTCCACGATGGGGACGATCGTCACCCTCCGCGCTTCTCTCACCTCTCCGCGGTAGTCAGTTAGAATATGACCCTCCTTCCAGAGCAACACATTGGAGCCTTCGATCTCCCTGATAACGTTTGCTTCTGAACTCACCGCCAGAGTGGATACGTACTCGGTGGTTATCCAGAGGACCTCCTCTGTACCCACCAGCTTGGCTGTGGCAGCGCTCAACCAGACCATGTCACACTCACTCAGGGTCACATTTTCCTTCTGCCCGCCACAGAGCAACACCTTGCCCCCTTTTTCCGGCCCGATTTTTCCGCTTGGTCCCCCTAGGAGAAGGAGCTTATCGAAAAGGAGTCGGTCTCGGAGCCCGGCCTCAAGAAGAAAGCCATCAATCTCATGCCGCTCGTTTAACAGGGCATGCCACTTGTCCTCCATCTTGCATCGACCGATAAGGATGCGCATTGCTTTGGTTACCTCGGCGTTCACCAAGTCCCCGATGACACGTCGTATGTGCCGAACAGTCTCAACAACATCACACCGGGTTGCACTGGCTGCCTCTGCTGCACCCGCTTCGGTTACCGAAGTCAGCATATGCGGCGGAGGCAGATAAGCGATGGCTATGTTTCGAAAGTCCTTGCCAATGCGACTGACAATGTCCCTGAGTTGCGCCTCGCAATGGCGCTTCTCCTCCTCCAGTTCAAAGGCCTCATCGGCGTCTTCCACATCCTCGCAATCACCTCGTCCAACGCGCAAGATGACCTGAAGACCAGCTTGCAGGGCTAAGGACACGTGCTCACCAACAAGCTTGTTCCACCCCGAGCAGAGATCCTCTGGATCGCCAGAGCCCGTTATGCCCGGCCCTGCCACGAGAAGGACGTAAGGAATTCCAACCTTTTATTAAGGCTTTGGGGTGCGCTTCAGGCGAAATGCAGGGTGCCGCTAGCTGGACCCCCTCCACTTTTGCTATTCGCTCCTTGGTCATTCGAAGCTCCTTGAGCGGCATGGAGATGACCACCTCACACAGATCTGGGACCCTGCTCGCCAGGAGACTCTGCAGGCAGTCTTCAATATCATTGGGTTTCCAGCAATCCACCACCAAGAACTTCCTTCCCGCCGTTGGTCTCGCCCGCAACGCTCCGAATGCATATTCGCATGCCCTTCTGAATTCGGCAAACCGGGAGGTGAATTCCTTGATCCCTACAAAACCACCTTCCGCCTCCTTGTCAAGCCAGCGCTCGATGTCACACTTCCATTCAGATGTAATAGTCCAGAGCCAGCGCGGGCATGAAGTCGATCGCTTCTGTGCTTGGTCGATGTACGTCTTCCATTGGTACCTCGCGCTCCTCACGGTGAGCTTCTCGGCAAGCTGGGACCCTTTGGCGGGCGCATTCTCCCGGCTTCGTACTGCAATTCCCGCGTTTTCGAGTCGCAGGCTTACGCCGTCCACGTTGGGTTGCTTGGTGATTTCCCTGTGCGCTTCTTGCCGAAGGTGCGTTAACTTCTCCAGGTAATAAACGATACGCACCGCTCTTGCCACGTGGGGGCTGATTCTCGTGAATATCCACCTCCTGAGACGAGCGTGAGCCGTCTCTATGGCCACACAAGGAATGTCGTCTATGTCCGTACTCTGCGCAGGCCTGTACTCGACAACAATCTGCACCCTTTCAAGATCAGTTTGGCTCAGCTCCTTGCTCCATTTTGAAAGCTGCTCCTCTATTGTTTCCGTGGGCTTCTCGCTATCATGAATCGGGATGACCTTCACCTTGCGATGGTTGTTTCCCTTTCCGAAATCATATTCAGTTATAACACCCTCCTTGGAAAGCTTAGCAACGACGTCAGTCTCTTCAGCGTCAGACTCTCCTGAATTCTCAGCTCTGACATTCTTTCTGACTATCCAGACCACCTCTTCTCCAGCCATCAGGTTCTTGCTGACTTTGTGCAGCTGCTCTTTGCTACGCCTGTCCAGAGTGGCAATGCCGTTTTCCGAGCAGCAAAGTAAGACTTTACCGGTCCTCTCTAGACTCGGCTGACAGATCTTGTCCACGAGGAGAGGTTGTTGGAAGCCACCCTCGAACATAAAGCCGTCAATGTCCTCCTCGGTAATGAGAGCGTCCCACATCTCCAGCTTCGAGCATCCGCCGATAAGGATGCGTGTGGCCCTCTCAGCTTCGTCATTTATCAAATATTCGATGACCGTTCTTATGTGCCGAGCCATACTGACAACGTGACTCTGTGGAAATACGAGCGGCGAGGTGGAGGGACCTTCTCCATGCAATACCGATGCCCAAGACACACCCGATGGAGGCAGATAAGCGATAGCTATGTTTCGCCAATTCTTGCCAATTGGACCGACGATGTCCCTTAGTTGCGCTTCACAGCGACCCTTCTCATCCTCCAGTTGATACGTCAGATGACTTCTCTGCTCGTCTTGAGATCTTTCTCGTCCGAGGCGCACAACGACCTGAAATCCGGCTCCCACAGTTACTGTGACCTGATCACCAACCAGCTTGTTATATGGCGAGCAGAGATTCTCTTGCCACCCAAAACCCTTCGCCTTGGGATTGTCCGCCTCCAGAACCACGTAGGTAACCCCTGCGCTCATCATCAAGTAGCGAAAGTCCTTTTGAGAAAAGCAGTGTGCCGCTAAGTCGAGTCCCTCTATGTTTGCCTTACGTTCCGCTGCCTTCTGAAGTTTCTTGAGCCGCATGGAGACAACCACATCACAGAAATCTCGGCTTCTGCTCGCCCGGAGATTCTCCAGACAATGGTCAACGTGGTTGGAGTCCCAGCAATCGACCACTAGGAACTTCCTCCTTCCCGACATTGATCTTGCCCACAGCTTTCCAAACGCATATTCGCACGCCCTTTTGAAGTCCTCAAAATTTAAACGAATCTCTTCGATCTCCAGGCCACCACCTTCCTTTCCCTTCTCCAGCCACACCTCAATGTCACGCTTCCACTGCGATAAAAGACTCCGCAGCCAGGGAGGGCATGGGGACTCTCGCTTGTTCACTTCGCCGACGTACATCTTCCATTCGTTACTCATGCCCCCCATCTCTGCGATTCTGCGCTCGGCAGGCTGCAGTCCAATTGGTGGCGGATTTCCGGCTCCGTCGAGTAGCAGGCTGACTCCGTCCACGTTTGGTTGTGTCGTGATTCCCCTGAGAGTTTCTGGTTCCAGCTCGTTAATGAAACAAACGATATGCACCGCTTGTGCCATGTCGGGGCTGATGCGAGTCAGAATCCACCTTCTGATGCGGGCGTGAGCGGTTTCGATGGCCTCATAAGGATCGCCTCGTTTGTCCAAACTTAGCTTAGGCCTGTACTCCACAAGTACCCGCTCCCCTTGACGATGAGCACGGTTCATCGTCTCTCTCCACCCTAGGAGCTGCTTCTCTACGGCCTCGTCTAGCTCCTCTCCATCGTCAGCGGCAGAAATGGTGACAATCTTTGCCTTACGCCGGTCGCTTTCCTTACGGGAATCGTCCTTGACAATAGCACCCTCCAGAGGCATCACAGCGAAGCAATCCTCGTCCTCACCGTCGACCTCTGAATTTTCAATGATGACATTCTTCATAGTTATCCATACCACCTCTTCTTCAGCCATCAGTTCCCGGCTCACTCGCTCTAAAATTTGGTCATACAGTGTGGTATTCCCGTGTGGCAAGCGACAAAGTAAGACTTTTTCCGTCCTTTCTCTATGAGGATGATCCAGTTTGTCTACGAGGCGAGCGTCTAGGAACCCACCTACAAAAAGAAAGCCATCAACTTCATTCTGCTTGATGAGGGCATCCCACATCTTCAGCGCCACGTCTCCGCCAATAAGAATCCGCGGTGTGTCTCCCGCTTCGGCATTCGCCAAATTGCTGATTATCTTTCTTATGTGCCGGATCGTATCAAGAAGATGACTCTCCCACTGTATGCCGCTCTGCGGCGGTGAAGGCCAATAAGCGATAATTATGTTTCGCCAATCGTGGACACTCTCACGGACGTCCCTGAGTTGCGCTTCACAGTAACGCTTATCCTCCTCCGCTTCAGAATGCACATTACTGGTCTTCTCGTCTCGAGAATCACATCGTCCAAGGTGCAACACGACCCGAAGACCGCCTTGCACAGCTATCGACACCTTCTCATCAACGACCTTGTTCGCCTGAGAGGAGAGATATTTGCGATCGTAGGAAAGACGCACGGGGCATGCCGAGAGTAGCACATAAGGGACCTCTCTCTCCCTTATGACACCCGTAAGAGCATCAACCGAGAAGGAATCTGCCGCGAAATTGATACCCTTGATTTTTACGATCCGCTCCTTCATCTGTCGAATCTCTGTGAGCGTCATGGAGACGACCACGTCACAAAGATCTGGCCTTCTGTTTGCCAGCTCCTCAAGGCACTGGTGAACATCGTTGGACTCCCAGCGGTCGACCACTAACAACCTCCTTCCCGATAACGATCTCTCCCACAGCTCTCCGAACGCATACTGGCATGCCTTTCGGAAGTCCTCACATTGTGCGGAAAGATGCTCAATCGCGACCCCGCCCACTGCCGCCTCATTGCCAAGCCATCGCTCTATGTCCTTCTTTCACAACGATAAAGTGCTCCACAGCCAGCGCGGGCATGAAGACTCTCGCTTCTCCACTTCGTTTATGAACTTCTCCCATTGTTTCCTTGTGGTGCTCAACTCTGAGATTCTCCTCTCGTATAGAGTGAGCTTCTCGGCGAGCTGCTTCCAGCTCTCGAGAACCTCCGGAGATGGTTGGCATGTTTTATGAATCACTGCAGCCATGGAAGACTGTCCCTCTTCAAGGCTCAGCATCCCGCATCGGTCCGTCATTATGCTGGGGAGAAGAACATCAGTCTGTTTATCCCCCGTCACTATTTTGCCAGCTCGCAGGTAATCTATAGTGCAGCTTCTCGACTCATATAGGCAAAGATACGTCAGACCGTCTCTTTTATCTTCCCACCAGGAATCGAGAGATGGCAATCTAAAGCGAGACGGCCTCGTACAGCCTTCGTAAACGTGGTAAGTCCCGTCTCGCCTGTCATAGTACACAAAGTCTAAGGGATGAGTCTCTACAACCTGTTGACTGTAATCTGCAAAGAGCGCTGCGCCGCGCACAACGGCTTCTTCTCGAAAGGGGTGGATCCTCGGCTCAACGCCAAAGAAATCCCTCAGCGTGTCTACAATGCTAGGAATGCGTGCTGACCCACCCACTAACAAAACTTCCTTCACATCCGAAATCTGCGTCCCTGATTTGTTGAAGACACGCTTGACACATGCCATGCACTGTTGCAGCAGGCTATTGCACTTTTCATGAAACTCAAGGCGGTGTATGGTGGTCACCTTACAGTCGTTATCGCCGCGGAAACTCTCACTCTCAACCTGCGCGTCGTTAAGCAATGTAAGATCCTTCTTGGCTTTTTCGCTGGCTATCTTCAGCACCCACAACTTGCTTCCGTCGGGAGTTTGACGAGATGCCTCCTTCCCGCCATCCAGGAGGAGTTCCACCCACAACTTGCTGCCTTTCGTGGCGGGAGTTTGACGAGACGACTCCTTCCCGCCATCGAGGAGGAGTTTCATCATCTTGTGGTCGAAGTCCATGCCTCCGAGAGATGGATTGCCAGCCGCGGAGATCACCGCGAGTTTCTCCCCGGAGATAGTAGTAAGGGCAACTTCGAAGCTTCCTCCGCCCATAGCAAACACAAGCATCTTCGCGCCACGTTGAGTTCCTACTTCAGGAGAAACACCGGAGGAGCCCATGGAGATCAATCCCACTTGATGTGCATAGCTCAAAGCGGCCGCTGTCGATTCACTGACTAACTGGACATCTCTGAAACCAGCGATCCGGGCCGCCATTTTGGTCGCTGATCTCTGCCTATCGCAGTAGAGTGCTGGAACGGTAATGACTGCCGCATCCACCTTTTTGCCCTCGAGATGCTGCTCGGCATCACTCTTCATCTTCGCTAGAAGCATCCCTAGCACCTGCTCAGGCGCCAAGTACCGTGTGCCATCATCCTGCGTAGGCTGCCCCGCATGCTGCGTTTCCGAAGCACAGACCTGATGTCCACAAAAAAAGTGGACAACAGTTCACTCTTCACCTCCACCATCGCCTCTCCGGATTTCCCCTCAACGACCGTGAACGGCCACCATTTCTTCGCCTCTTCTCTTATCGACCGGTATCACGTCCGATAAGTCGTTTCACCTCGTAAAACAGGTTTTCCGGCTTCTTCAGCACTTGTTTCTGTGCTTGCTCGCCCACCAAACGCTTTTTGTCCGTGAATGAGACAACAGATGGTGTCGAGCGTTTCCCGTACGCGTCCGGTATGACCTCCACTTTCCCATCGCGACACACCGCCACCCGGCAAGAAGAAGTACCGAGATCTATCCCTATGCGACACTACGCTTTGGCGTGAACCATCTCATCGGAATCCACCTCCAGCGAGGAAGAGGACGTACGGAGATCATCCCCAAAGCTTCTTGACTGTGAATGCCCCGGCTGCCCAGCCATTGTCTTTTCTTTCCCTCCGTCGGTTCCTTCTAATGCTTTCAAACCTCTCTTGATCCGTTGCATTCTAGTGTACTCAAGTACTTGCCCATTCAGACTCCGTTCTTTCTTCGCAGTCTGCTACACGTCTTCTCTTTTCCCACTGCACGCATGACTTTGGATCTTACTCCTGATTCCCGACCCTCGCTGTCGCTCCCCCTCTCCGTTTGCTCTCCTTACCGCAGTCTTCCCCTCTCTAAATATCTTTGCCTCTCAAGGGATACCGTCGGTCCCGACAAGTTTGCCCCCAATAAGGGACGGATCACGGTGTCTAATACTGACTATACTCTAACACTTCTCCCTGCTTTTCTCCCTCCTCCCACTACTCCATCTCCTGCTCCTCCCCCTGGTCTTCTCCCTCCTCCCAGTACTCCAGCTCCTGCTAGTGTCTGCAACAGCGGAGGGAAAAAGACAAAAAACACTGGTCCACTCCCTTTCGCTAATAACAACTTTACGGCAATGCTTCTGTCATGTACCTACCACTTACTTCACACTACCTCCGCGGTCCTCCTGTTGCTTCTACTTCGAGCATTGCCTCCTCTCTTTTACAAGATACTTTTCGTTTCTACTCTCGAATCAACAACGTCGCTGTCGGATGCTGTGCGGAAATAGCCAGCGTCGACGCGTTCCCCCCATCTTCGTATTTTCTTCCTTCAACCTCAGAGCAAAGGCTGACGATCGAGAATGCTCTGCGAATAGCAGCAGCCTCTTCCGCTTGACGACGACTGAAGATCGATTGTTCTTCCAAACCTGAAACAGGCACGCAATCAAGCCTCCAGCGACACGATTAGTCGAGTGGAGCGGTAATACCATGCACGACCTCTCCCACAATTCGGCTCGGTTCATAGTATTGATGGATTGCGTGAGTGATTGATTTATTCATGGACTGATTGATTGATGGCTTGAGTGATTGATCGAGTGATGGCTAGATGGACGGATTGGTTTATTGATCGATTTACTGATTGATGGATGGATTGACTGGGTGAGTGATTGATGGATGGATGATCGAGTTATTGATGGACTGATGGATTGATGGCTTGAGTGCTTGAGGGATTGATTGATTGATCCAGTGACTGATTGGCTAATTGATCGATTGATTAATTGTTTAATTGATTGATTGATATGATGCCTGGTTGGTTGGTTTCCTGGCTGGTTCGTCTGATGGTTGAACGTTTAATTCCTTGCTTGCTTGCTTGCTTCTGAAAATGGGGAAAGCAAAAAAGTTTAATCAACCGATTGTACAGTTGTGAGGTCGATCAAACGATCGAAGAAGGCAGCGGAGAGAAGGGGCAGAGAAGGAAAGAGTAGCAGGAGAGGGGCCCGAGAGAAGCTCACAAGAGGATGGTTCATTCTGTCAGGCAAAAAAACGACTTTGCGGCCAATCAATTAATCAAATTGGGGACGGAGAAAGATGAGTTTGCAAAGAGACAAGACTCAAGCAAAAGTCAAAAAAAAAAAACGAAAAAAAAAAGAAATAGGAAATCAAAAACCGCATCCGAGTCGAGCAAGAAGAAAAGCAAGAGTGCGCATGGGCTGAGGAGCTCAAACCACGCGCAGATGTATGTCAATCCATCCAGCCAACCATCGAAATCAATCAATGGAATTAAGATCGACGAAATGAGTTAATCAATCAAACAAAAGGCATAGACGCAAGAAATACGGATTCCTTTAGAGTGTTAAATCGTCACCTTGATATGTGGCGGAGCCGGCCCGATCCGACTAAACGGAAAGTTAACGATTGGACGAGAGGATGTGAGCGAGATTACATCCGCAAAGCCACGGCTCGCTCGTACCTGGGTATGGATACCGTCCTTGAGATTGATGGCATCTGTATAAGTTTTCGAAGATTAGAACAAAAAAGATAGAATGTCGACTGCAAAAAGAGTACCTAATTAGATTAAAAGGAAGCATTAATAATAATAATAAAATAATTTCGAAGAAAAAGGGTTCCTTACCGTCATATCCAGCATAGAGAGTGATCGGGAAGAGCGGGAGCCAGGATTACTGTATGATCCAATCAATTCTTGTCTCTGCCAGAGTCGAACTGGTGTGAGGGAGGCGCGCCATGAAACGGCCCTAGAATGCCGGGGGCGAGACCTGCGACGGCAGAGGTGGATTAACTGCCAACGTGGGGATGTGTGGCCGTGCGTGCGTATGTGCGTGTGTGTGTGTGTGTGTGTGTGTGTGTGTGTGTGTGTGCGAGAGAGAGAGAGAGAGAGAGAGAGAGAGAGAGAGAGAGAGAGAGAGAGAGAGANGAGAGAGAGAGAGAGAGAGAGAGAGAGAGAGAGAGAGAGAGAGAGAGAGAGAGAGAGAGAGAGAGGAGGGAAGTTCTAGAATATTAGTGTACTATGATCCAAGCAGAATGGAAAGCTAACTTATAGAGAGATTTGCGTCCTTACCTCACGTGAGATGATAATAGAAGACGAGTTCGACTGTCGAACTGACGACCCGATCCAACGGCTATGACAAGAGATGAGGCCAGCGCATCGGCGCATAGGCGAGAGATGAACCTGAGGATTGCTCAGACAAAAGCGCAGAGATGAGGAACGCAGGTCCAGGGAGGCAGCTGCAAGGGGGTTTTCTCCAAAATCCGCGCTTGCTATTTGAAACGGTGCAGGAACTGAAATGGGAAAGGAACGTTCCCTCATCTGGAGTCGAACACGCGCTGTGGACCTCGCCACACCACTGTCGAAATGAAAAACGAACGAATGCATTTTCCCGCGAAGGAGCTCAAGATGCATCGTTACTATGAATAGCAATGGACGCATCTTACCACTTTCTGCGGCAGATGCATTCCTTCTGTTTTTGTTTCGACAGTGGTGTGGCGCACTGACCTTCTTTTTTTGAATCTTTTACCAAATATCGGGCCTCGCTGCACTACTCTCGACATGCACAAAAGACAAAAATATTGGCGGTGTATCTTTCCATATTCTAGCGGAAGATTCGCTCTCGTTTTGCAGCGAGGCCCATCGTCAAAGGGAAGTGCCCGATAAACCAGTGGCAGAGAGGGAGGAGAGGACAACGAACTACAGTAGGGGCTGTGACAGACTCTTACCTGGTAAAACGTCGGTAGAGAAAGAGAAGACCAAAAGGGACTACAGTCTTCCCCCGAATACAACGTACGGTCATTATAGCTGAATTTAGACTAAAAGATACGCCAAATTCAGCTATAATGACCGTACGTTGTATTCGGGGGAACACTGTAGGGGCTGTGACAGACTGTTACGTCGGAACTTCACCCACTCGTCAGGCGGCTGCACAGTGCACCCTACCATATGTAGTGTCGTGTGCACCCACTGAGGGCCTCGCCACAGCACTCTTGAAAACTTATTTTCAAGAGTTTGGCTGTTGCCACACACCCTCTTGAAACCCTGAACCCAAAAAAAGTTCAAGAGGTGTCAGAATTCATCTTCAAGAGGGAACGCTTGAAACCCCTGGTTTTCAAGAGTGCTGGGCGTTCAACTCGTGAGTTTTCAAGGGTCCTTGCTCGACCCCTTGAAGGAGTCGTGATTCTCAAGAGCTGTCAGCTGAAAAGGCTCAAAAAACAAAAAAAAAATTCAGTGTTTGTCCTTTCTGCATCTGGCTGCGATGAGCAAGCAGTACACACGCGAACAGTAGAGTTCCTCTTTCAAGAGTCTGTGCGGCAAACGGCCGAAAAAGGTCAAAAACTTACCTCTTGAAAAGCTCTGACGACTCTTGAAACATTTCATCACTTCAGGAGTGGTGTGACCAGGGCCTTAGGGCCTCGCCACACTGCTCTTGGGGTCTCGCTCCACTACTGTCCTCGCTCCACTACTGTCCTCGCTCCACTACTGTCCACTGTACAATTTTCCAGACATTTCTTACACAGTTGTCAGAGCGAAAAATTGTACAGCGGACAGTGGAAAATGCCACATAGCTCCACTTACTGTCCACTGTCCAACTGTCAAATTCGTGAGTTCACTACGGACGCAGAGATAGAACTACAAGACAGGGAGTCCAAAGGATTTTGTCTGCCCGGACTCTAGGTGCACTGTCCACATTCGGGTCCTCACGGTGAGTCGCTTGAAGGACTTTCCACTCAACGAATTTTGCAGGCTGGGAGCTGTACATTCACGGACAGTAGATTTTCTACGGGGTTTCTAAAAACTGTCCAAGCCATTTTGCACATGTACAGTGGACAGTAAGTGGAGCGAAGTACCACTGTCCGTCGTTTTTGTACAGTGGACAGTAGTGGAGCGAGACCCTTGAAGTGGGGAATTTTTTCAAGAGCTGTCCGACGTTCTCAAGAGTTGGGTTTTCAAGAGTTTCCGGCCCCTCGCCACACAGCACTCTCGAAAGGGCGATGGTGTTGGACAACTGATGAAAAACGACAGTCGTACAGCTTTGTTTTTTCCGAATGGCGTCAGGATAACGGCCTTACAACTCTCGAAAATAGAAAGTCCCTCAAGGGCTTGAAAACGCACGAGTTGCAGGCTGGGGTTTCCCATCTTTCGAGAGCTGCTCTTGAAAGAGTTTCAAGAGCTGCTCTGACAGCCCTTGACTGCCCCAAGTTTCGAGAGGCTGTGTGAAGTGTCCGGTGCTCCACTGCCAAAATTGAGAAATTTGTCCTTAGGGACATCCGGGGCAAGGTCCCACTTGCACGGATTAAGAGATTCTGGCCGTTGATCTTTGCTATCTACGGTCAATATCACTTAATTCGTGTAAGTGGGACCTAGCCCCCGGTGTAGAGAATATTAGCATGGCAAGGATGACATGCATAAATATTAAATAGAGAAATGCTAATAGGGGATGGTAAGGATAGTTAGTAGGGTTACTTAGGTGGTAGCTGTAGGTACTACATATTTGTAATAGTTTTAGTAGAGGGTAGTAGAAGGGAGTTGAAGTTAGTCAGAGGACTCAGGTGGTTAACTATAAGCTAAACTGTCTGAGGCTGCCAGGATAACACCGGGTTGAATTGTGAGGATCCCCGGCCTCGTAGGAAGTTCTTTCTTACAATGGAATGTAATGTGCTAATTAAAAAAAAAAAAAAAAAAAAAAAAAAAAAAAAAAAAAAAAAAAAAAAAAAGAGAAATGGTCCATTTTTTTTATTTTTATTTTTTTAAATCCCTTTGGGGATTTTCCCCTGTTTCAACAGACCTTCCCTTTCGGAATTTTCTCCGGTTTCCACTGACAATTCATTTCTCCAGGCTGGACGTTTCACTTTCCTCGGCTGGGAAGTGTCCTGCAGGGTTTCCTTGGTCAAGTACTCTCTCAAAAAAGGTGCAATGCATCATATCACAATCCTGGCCCGATTCAAAATCAAAAGCAGGAATTTTCGTAATAGCCCCAAAAAGGCTGGTAGGTGGAGCCAGCCTTTCCATCACGGGGAATGCAGGATCAAGACGAAGGGATGAGGAT